TTACATAATTACACATGACCTCCTCATTCCTCTTCAGTGTCGCTTGGTGGACTGGAGTCTGATCCTTTGGTGAAAGATGTTAAAATACCCTGGACAGGTTTCCAGGTCATCACAACATGGAGTATCAGTCACACTCCAATTAACTCCTGTGGACAGTTCACAGCCTTTAAATACCTTTTTAGTACCTACAGTAGACTGTGGGAAAAAAATGAAGCATGCAAATAAGGAGAGAAACAAATTCCACCCAGAAATGTAGCAGTACCACAGACATCAAGTTCAGAAACATGGTGTAAATAGTGTAAAGTATGTGAAACAATACTTAAACCACATCTCCACATAATCTTTTATTGCTGGTTTTACAGGACAAACATAACTCCTTACTTGTCCAGTGGATATTTAATTTATTAGATTAAAGAAGATGTAATGTGTCATCTAAAATAGCTTTTCTGAGGGTGACTTGATTTTTATGCCCCAACCAACTATTTGGATTTTGAAGCACAGAGAAGTGGCATGTCACAGCGAATGACATAAGTGGCTTTGACAGGTGATCAAAATGGAAAGATTGCTGACAGCTGTGCATAATACACTCTTCAATCAGTGCACAAGGTTGAAAATGTATGTCTGATGGTTTTAATGTGGCTATGCATGAGTTTTGACACATTAGGTAGCATTTGAAAGTTTAAAGTTATTTAATTGTTTAATAATTGCACTAAGGCCAAGCACCAAACTATACAATGTGTCATAATTTCGGCTGGAAAAATTATTAGTGTTCCACTACAAGATATTTTCACTCTCTGCTCTATTAGATGTAAATCAGGGCTCCAGACTAATAGTTCCTACTGGTGGCACAGGAGCCTGATCCATCACAAGAGATTCAAGTAAAAAGTCTCTTATACATAAATAGTCTAACAGGTGATCTACCCGATTTAAGCTGCTGTCTCTGGCAATTATGCTTCAAATGCACCGAAGGCAAAAATAGACTGAAAATGCAAAACGGGGGCCCAGGCGTGTCTGAGTCAACGTGGATCGATACATTTGATAGATTGGAAGTCTTTGCTTCATGAGATGAACGAGTGACAGACCTCCAGATAAACATTGTGATGATTATTATGTAGATTCTGTCCACCAATTCTACAGTGAGGGCATCGTTCATGCATAACCGGTTTGTTTTGCAGTCACACCTTAAATAAATTTGGTAGCAAAATGCAACTGATCACTCGCAGTCTGAAGCCCTGCAAGTGACGAGCCAATAACATCATCAGGGATCAATCACCTCCTGCCCTTAGGAGGAAGATATGGATCAATTAGGGTGTGAACAAATAGAATGAGAGTTTCTTTCTCCAAGCAATCAGAGTTTTAAATGATTCAGTGTTGATTATGAGGGAGGGGAGCGACTGACAGTTGGATGTTGGCTTTAATACGTCATTGTAATGTGTTACCTATTTATAATTTAAGACTTCAGGAGACTTTGGCATTATGGATATATTACTGATAGGTATTCATTGTTATTTATTGTTTCTGGTTTTAAAATATTAGTAGGTGGTAGTCATTACTGTCGAATGTTTTATCTCTTTTCCTACCCATATTTTTGCTGTATTGGATACAATGACAAATAAAGGATCCATCCATCCATCCATACAGCCACCCAGCCCATTTTAAACTTAACTATATGTTAATGCAACAATGATGTTTATTTTCAGCGTGTTTCTCTTCCTATCTACAGTCCTGGGTGACATAGGGGGTCATGTGTTTACAGTTTTAGTTTAAGCTTTTTGGCTCAGTAGGAAACATACTGTATATATTACCATGCACCATCTGCATTTTAATGACAAAAATGTTATTTTCTGCATTTTGTGCGATCTGCTATACTTTTGTAATGAGCTGTAGAAAGCTTCGCTGTGATATAAATAAATCTGTAATAACCCAGTTTTATTCGAGGCATATATAGTAAGAAGCTCAGAGGTTTTTCTTGTACTCTCTGCTCTGTGAGAGCGCGATAAAGATAGCAGGTTTCTAAATAAAAATGATGACGAGGACTTTTCATTTCAGATCTCGAGTATCCTGTCTAAATAAGGTTCCTGAGCAAATATGAATGTGCTGATGTAACATATTTCTCCCAGGGAAAACTGTGCCAACTTACTGACTACAAGCTGAAAAATGAAGTTGTTTTAGCTTTGCACCTGCTCAGAACTGAAGGATCTTTAAAAGTGTGTGTGTGTGCAATAGTGTCAAAGTAGTCGTAGGGCCAGGGGATGCTCTCGCACGAAGCTGACATGACAGGACAGTAATTTTCCAGTCAGTGCTGAGAAAGGCTGGGAGGACAACCCCTGCTGTGAAACTGTAATGTGTTGCATAATGTTTAGGCTCATACCCCAACAATCACACTTGATGCCTTGCTCAATGTTTTTTATATTAAATATGGATCAAATAACTATCTGTGAGGTGAAAGATGTTGCTTATTATTGCCGACTGGGCAATAAGCTATAGACACTAGTCAGCAGGTCTCTGATGTAGTGTGTTAATGAGGTTGCAAAGACAACATGGTGGTGTGTAATGAAGGCTGATTGTTATGTGCCGTTCGCAACTGTCAGTGAGCGAACGAGAAAGAGGCGGACCCAGGTAGCCGACTTCGATGCAAGCAGTGATTTATTATGTACAGTGATGAGGAGAAATAACAAAATGCACAGAGGGAAATAGTGCGTAGTCCTGTCGATGAGTAGTAACCGACAGGACTAACAGTAGGAGGTGAGGAGATGGAGAGCTGGGCCGAGCTGCGTAGGCTGGGTCACTCCTGGGCTGGTCGGTGGTGATGGTGGCTTTTGAAGGTAGAGACAGAGAGATGAAGGCAATAGTAGAACAGATAGGCGACTGAGCATTGACCTGCCTGGGAGGGGAGAGTGGAGCCACGGTCCAGAGGAACAGTCCATGGGGGGAACACAAAACAATAGCTGGCTAGGGAATAATAATATACAAAAAAACCAAAACAAAACAAAAAACGAGACAGCACGGAGAAAAAATGGCCTAGAGACAAGAACGAACTGGCAAGTGACTGAGGAGTGAAACCGGGTAATATAGTGAGCAACATAATCAAGTGCAGCTGGTGATAAGGGAGTGAGGAACAGGTGAACATGATTAGTGTTAATGGGCAAGAGACAGTAGGAAAGGTGAGGGAGGCCAGAGCGGCCGAGCAAACCTGACACTGATTACTGTATATGAAGGAATGCATGCACACAATATGCTGTATATACACACAAAAAAACTTTTGTGTGGTGTTTATAGCTATATCACTAATGAGAATATACATAAGCTAATGAAATGCACTCAACACATACATTTTCTCCCCATTTTAAACAGCAGATTGAAAAGCTGAAGTTACTTTTCTATTATAGAGTACCTAGAATAGTTTGAATATATTTTATTTTCAAAGCCTTTTCAGGTAAACTCCCTTCTTACCTTTGCAAATTAGTTTCACAGAACCTTCTTTCTAGCTGTAATCTTGGGTCTAATGACTTGTATCTGTTGTCTGTCCCTAATGTGCAGACAGAGATGGGGATAAAGGCCTTTATATATTCTGCCCCAGCCACCTGGAACAGCTTAAAAAAAAAAGCAAATCTACTCAAGATGGTCAAATCAACCAAATTCAAGTTTATTGTAACCGCGCTGATGAATGAGTCCTTCACTGCCAGCTCCTGCTTTTACCTCTTTATGTCTGGACTTGATATTATTTTAATTCTTCAGTTTAAATTTTTGTAAAGCTTGGATTTAATTCTGTTCAATGTTTATCAGATTTTACATATGCTGCTGTCTTGGTCAAAGCACCATTGAAAAAGAGGCTCCTAATCTCAGTGGGGCTTCCCTGGAAAAACAATGTCGAAAAAAAGATAAAATGATTCTTGCAGTATACAAATTATGACTTTAATTAGTACTGATGTTATTTTATCTAATCAGTGTGCTGATATATGTTCTTTACATTCTCTCTCATTGTGTTTTTTCTTTGTGATTCTCTTATTGATAACCTAGTGTTTCTCTCCTTCCATTCCACTCTGATGACTTTCTTCCAGATACAACACATACACCCATCTATTGAGACATGCTAGCATGTGTCACAGCACCTGCCTGGAGGTCCAGAAAAGTGACTTTCAATTTCCTGTCTTGGAGAACTTAGGCAAATAGAAGTGGTGTCAAACTGTCATGATTATTACCACAGAGAGTGGTAGGGACTCCACTGCCCTCTCTGCAGAGCATTTACCACCGCAGGGTGCATAGGAAAGCTGCCTCCATCCTCCAGGATGTTTATACCCCTACCCCTCTGGTTGGAGGCTCAGAAGTGTGAAATGCAGGACCACTAGACTGAAAAACTCTCTGTCCCTCTGCCATCAGACTCAGGATCTACCTCATGTAATTCCATCTGTATTGTTTACATACTCATTTTGCATGTGCACAATTGCACACTCACTGCTGAGTATTTACGCTCCACGGCTCCCACGTAACATATATTCTCTCTGCATTATATTGTGTTCCTGTTGTATTTTTATTTGCTTCCTTCACTTGCTGCTTTGAAGTGCCTTAGATTTGTGTTACTGCCCATGTAGATGTGTTATTGCTCATCTACTTTATATTTCACTTGTATTGTGTGGCATTCATGTGGACGGCAAAGTAAGAATTTCATTGTACAGGGAAACACATTTCCTGACTGTGCATATGACAAATAAACACTTTGACCTTGACCTTATTTGAAGGAAAGTCTCATCCAGCCTCTTGTGAGAATAAAAGTCCACTTGTTTTCCCTTGGACTGTCAGTCTTCTTGTTGTCATGCTGTGACCACAATGAATGTCCTTTAAAATACAACTGTTAATGTATTGGAATAGAGCTTGGAATGGGTTAGATGATTCTTGTTTTTTAATACTCTCCACATGATCAAGGGTTTTGTAGAATCATCAATACTGATCCTCTGTTTGGCAAGGTGGTTGAGACGTGATCCTTTTTGTGTTTTTTACAGGAATCTTGGAAAGTCAGGACTCAGAGTGTCCTGCTTAGGACTGGGTGAGTAAATTCTGCACTCTGCTTCACTACCTCTCATGCATTGCTCCATTAGGCTTCACTGCATGCTTTGCAACAACACAAATTATGTGGGCTAAAGAAATAATATATGATGTTTTTATTCTATTCTGTAGCATATCTGCAGTGATAGACAAGCTTTATATTAAGTTATTTACAAACTTAAGCATCTCGTTAAGACTTGGTAAATGTAGAACAAACAAAATCAGAATTGGTTTGGGAATAAGTTCAGTCTGTTTCTTATTAAAGCAACAAACCTACTGTGGTTCGTTCTGCTACATTCTGGTTCAAACTGTTACACAAACACTTAAACATACCAGCATCCTCCTAATAAAATGAGTGGCTGTAGGCTATATTATGCCTGAAAAGTCAGAAAGGTGTCCAGTTTAGTGACATTATAGTAGCATCTTGTTTGTTTGCAGACAGAATTGTCCTTTTGGAGTAACTGAAACATTTTGCTCTTTCCAAATGTGATGTTGTGATTTGCCCCTGAAAGAGAGGCAGGTGGTTAGGTCCAATTCAGGGGAAAGGTGAAGAGGGAGTAGTGGTGAAAGGGACTGAATGTAGGTCAGGTGCCTGGTACACCCCCAAAGAGTACACATTTTAGTGCTTTGATACATATTTTGGTGGACCCAAAAACTTTTTAATTTAAAAGTGACAAACCTGGCTGTATACAGCAAGGATTTCTTTCTGGTGTCACTGGTAGATTACATTGAAAGAGGCTTTTTGGTGCCATGTAAACAGTTAGCTTTCAGCATGTAATGTCTTCTAGGGCTAGGTCACCTCTGAGTGCTGCTGCCCCAGGTGGTTCACAGCAGACTGAGAGGTCTGACCCACAGCACAGAAAAAGGTCAGCATAATGGCAGGCGGCTGCCCCCAGTCGCCCTAATGCT